AGTATGATAACACGTCAGGTAGGGCAAAACATCACTCCTATTTATTTATTTATTATTTATACTGGTCAAAATAATATTAAACTCTCCCACAGGATTTGAACCCAGGACCCTGAAATTGGAAGGCAAGCATCTAAAAAGATAATCCATGCATCGCCATATAGATGTTTACAATAAAGTACTTTGCCTAGCCCACAGGATTGAATTTGAACTCAATACCTATATTGGTACATGCAAGTCATTTTTAATTGAGATTTAAAAAAAAAATCTGTGAAACCAGTTGTGTCGTTTTACACAATGGAAAACATATTGTGTTAATTATTTGTTTGTTTTTAAATATAAAAAATTGCATCGGCCGGGAATTGAACCCGGGTCCCCCGCGTGGCAGGCGAGAATTCTACCACTGAACCACCGATGCTTCCAAGCCAAGTCTCTATGAGATCCAATGTAGTATGTGTGAACTTTTAGATGCTTACAACGAAGTACAGTACTTGTATTATGATCCTGTTTCAATGTACATGCAAATCATTTTAGAATGATATTTATAAAAAAAATAATTAAGTGAAAAACAATTGTTTGGTTTTATACAACGGACACATTTTGTGTTATTATGTATTTGTTAAATATAAAAAATTGCATCGGCCGGGAATTGAACCCGGGTCCCCCGCGTGGCAGGCGAGAATTCTACCACTGAACCACCGATGCTTCCACGTCATATTCGATGCAATGTAGTATCCGTGAACTTAAACTGAAATCGATTTTTTTTTTCGAGCACACACACCGAAATACCATTGCAAATTGGGGATCGGATTAAACACTAGTCACAAAGCGCAAGCTCGGTGGTGTAGTGGTTATGACAACTGGTCAGTTATCTGGAGGTCGCGTGTCCAATTCCCACCCGAATCACTTGCGATTTTTGGGGGATGTATTGTATTCAGTATGATAACACCTCAGGTAGGGCAAAACATCACTCCTATTTATTTATTACTATTATTATTATTACAATTAAAATACAGTGGAAGCTGGTCAGAATATTAATGCTACTACCGTTCTCCCACAGGATTTGAACCACGGCCGTAACATTGGAAGGCAAGCATCTGAAACATGAATTCTAATTCAATACCATGTACTGGTACATGCGAGTCATTTTTTATTGAGATTGAAAAAATATATATATTCAGTTAAACCAGTTGTTTTTTTGTATACAAAGGACACATAATTATTGTGTTAATTATTTGTCCATCTGATAAATATAAAAGTGCATCGGCCGAGAATTGAACCCGGGTCCCCGCGTGGCGGGCGATAATTTTTTTTTGGGGGGGGGGGGGGGTACCGGTACTGAGTATTCAGTATGGTAACACGTCAGGTAGGGCAAAACATCACTCCTATTTATTTATTTATTATTTAAACTGGTCAAAATAATATTAAACTCTCCCACAGGATTTGAACCCAGGACCCTGAAATTGGAAGGCAAGCATCTAAAAAGATAATCCATGCATCGCCATATAGATGTTTACAATAAAGTACTTTGCCTAGCCCATAGGATTGAATTTGAACTCAATACCTATATTGGTACATGCAAGTCATTTTTAATTGAGATTTAAAAAAAAATCTGTGAAACCAGTTGTGTTGTTTTACACAATGGAAAACATATTGTGTTAATTATTTGTTTGTTTTTAAATATAAAAAATTGCATCGGCCGGGAATTGAACCCGGGTCCCCCGCGTGGCAGGCGAGAATTCTACCACTGAACCACCGATGCTTCCATACAAATAACTATGAGATGTAATGTACTATGCGTGAATTTATACTGAAATAGTGTTTTTTCCGAGGGCTAATAATGAATGATATCGTTGCAATAAAGTAAATGATACTCTTTCACGAAATATTAAAACTTTTCTTTCCATAATTTCAGTATTTAAGTTTGAGTATTTAAGTGACACGAAAGTTAAAGGTCAATCTGCGTGCCACGTTGCAGCGAACATATTAGTTTTAACCGGATGGAAAGTGTCATAAGTGTCAGTACAAGGCCTTGCTATGACCATTCTCTATTCCCAATAATAACAGGGCATTCAGCACCTGTCAGAATATCAAGTACTGTATAAGTACCATTATGCTTATTATGGTTGTTGTCAGTGGCACCTAATTGTATCTAAGACTGTGCCTGTGGCTGTGCCACTGAGGAATATATTTTAGAAAGGCGACCAGATTATTCCGTTTTACTTTTTTTTCCTTTTTTTTTAAATTGCTTTAAAATCATGCATCTCTACATAAACTTCAATTCAATCAATGAAATTTAAGATAACCTATAATATAGGCCTTTTAATACTTGACAGTCACAAAAGAAGTGACTGTTAAAACTATGCTACAAATAAAAATAGAGCACGAAGGCAAGCTTATAAGAAATTGAATGAATACACAACAAAAAAAATTAAAACAGAAAATGTAAGACAGAAAGTGAAACAAATGAGTGAAATTTTCACTTACAGGTCGTCTTTGTCGATCTGTTCGTCGATATGAAACAATCCCTTGAAACCAGGTTTATCCTCGTCGAGATGACTTAAATTAAATTCCTATGAAAACAATTAAACGCAATTGAAGATATTTAACTACGCGTTAATTAATAACAATTTTACTAGGCCTAAATTTAATTTTAATAATAATAATAATAATAACATTGTTATTATTATAACCATTGATAATAAAAATAATATAAGATTAATAATAGGCCGTAATAACAAACAATAACAATAGCAATAGCAAAAACCAATTGCTATAGCAGTGTACAGTAATAACAATAATAATATGCCTATTGATAATAATAATATTAGTCTTAATAATAACAATAAGGCCTACTCATCAACTCAATAATTGGCGTCAGCTTGATTAACCTCATCATTTGAGGATCTTTTTCGTAACCTACATCATTTCATGTTGACCAAATAATATCCATCTTTAGACCAAATCCGTCCTACCTCAAACGAAGGCCAATATGGTTTCATTGACGCACCGTGTTTCTTGCTCCAGATCTCAACATCGTCGTTGGCGCACGCCGATTCTATTTTATTCTTTATTTGTTCATATATACCGTCGTATCTGCATGAATAAGGACAACAATTTTATTATTATACAACAGCAATAACAAAAACGACGACGGCGGCGGTGACGACGATGATTTTTTATTTTTTTATTTTTTTTATTGCTTTTAACATACATAAAACAACATAATATAATATAATGCAATATTACAATACACAATCTCATCTTCTAAAAAAAAAATTATTAGCATTACAAAATCCAAAACCAATATAATATACTGTACTGTAATATAAAATGAAATTAAAATTAAGTAAAAATTTAACTGATAAACGACGACGATGATGATGATGATAATAACTATGATACATAATATTAATAACCAGTAATAATAATAACAATAATAATGATAATGGCAGTGATGTTGACAGCAGTAACAACAACAACAGCAACAACAACAGCAACAACAACAACAATAATAATAACAATAATAATAATAATAATAATTATTATTATTATTATTATTTTATAAAAGTAAAACTAATAATACTAATAATAGGGCAAATAACATAATTGATACACCGTTGCTCATTTATATTGTGTTGGTGGACGGGATTCGTGTGTGGTGAGTCAGTGTGACAAATTTAAACTTTACTCACCCCGGTAAAACTGAAATGTCGAGAGCGTTAACAAATCTCAGTAGCTCATACTTTAGGCTCTCAAGTCGCTCTTTCTCAAAAAGTTGGCATTTATTGAATTCAGACGTCATTTTCTGAACAAGGAAAATCATAATTAAATGAGCAGTCGGAACGGAAATAAAATGAGATTCTGTCAAACATAAACACTGTTTGTACTGTAGGAAGAGGTTTATGATATAAAAAGATCGTTGCACCAATTTCTGTACAATATTGTAAGACTATCGAGTTATTTGAAGAGAATTTTTTTTATCGTTGGTGTCTACTTGTGTGTGAGTTGATCTGTGATTGATTTTTCTTTTTACATTCAAATTTAAAGTATTTTAGTCTTTTAAATCCATATGTGCCGGTTGATCTGTGGTTGGCTTGAGTATTCCTAATCTCTTAATACAGGAAAAAAAAAAAAACGCAAACTTTGAGTTAATTATCTGCTTGTTGTTTGCCGGTTGGAATTTACCTGGAAATACCGTTCCTTCATTTTCCCATTACACATTAAAATGCCTTTAAGATAAACTTTCTTCATGTGTTCCCGATGTTTGGCATGCTGTTCTGCCCGTTTGAATAATTTATTTTTTGTTTCAGTACCAACGATTTCCTTCTTACTTTCCTCTTCTGCGAACTTCTGAGTTTTATGCGCTGCGACCACCGCCATGTGATAGGCCTACAATAGCAAAAGATATTAATTGGCAAAAGCATTATTAATTTGCAGTGTCAAATAATAAACTACAAAAAGAAAGTTCACAATTTTTTAGAAAGAATATTTCATCTTAGTGGCATGCTATTATGCCAAAAAATACAATTAGTATTTAAATATAATTTTAAGTTAATAAATGATTTACCTTCCTCGCTTTCTTGATTTTAGACAGTAGTTTCATATATCCGCTTTGAGCATTTGAGAAATCTTCTTCAAATTGTCGTATTTCCTGAACGCCACCAAATAATGTTTTATGGCAATGTGCCCTTTTCCACCTGAGTAAATCAAATCACAAAATGGTAAACACGCTGCGTTTACCATTAAATGTCATTTATTATTGCTATTATGTAGGCCTAGTTATAAATTTTAGCTCATGCAACAATATTTCATCTGATTTAGCAAACCTTGTTAGTATTTGTTAGTATTGTTAGCAAAATCCTTGCTGAATCTAAATTCATAGATCTATTAGAATCGATAGAATATCATTTGAAAACAGTGGCGTACCTAGGGGCCCCACCAAAAAAAGCTCGCCCCCTCAGTCGCATCCTCCCCCACCCATATGAAAAAATGTTCAAAGCAAAAAATAAACGCTCACCATAATTTCTGAAAGCTTGTTCCCCACTTAATCATCGAAGACCCCCCTCCCGAACTTCACCGTCACGCCCCGCCCCCACCATTCCTAATTTCAAGGCTCCTGAATACTCCAATGTTTAAAAAAAAAAAACCACAGTCCTACCTGTTTATGCAAGAGAATGGGCCTCCATCACCAATTAACTTCATTCGACATTCTTCATGTAAATCTGCAACTTGCCCAGCTTCTTTTATACAGCACCGCAGTGCATCCAACATCGAACCGTATTCGTACCCTGGAATAATTAAGATTAAAATATTAAACAGTATCATCGGTATTTCTCTTTAAGATAGAGTTGAACAATCCATCCCGATAGCCTAGATACACAACAATACCAGCAACAACTAACGACAGTATTACAAGTACGACCATCCTGATTATGATGTTTTTATAAAATGCAAAATATTTTCAAATAAACGTCTATGGATCGTTTATTTGAAAATATTTGCAAAATGTTTACATGTAAACATGGGCCTAATTGCTTGATATTCTATTAATAAATTACTTATTTAACGTTACGAATATCAATATTGTTAATTTGCCAACAAATGTATTATTTAATAATTACTGCGTCACAGATTGTAATGTGATACAATGTTAGAAAATTTAATTTTTTATATTTCTGTAATACTGGTAATATAATTATTTAGATGAACTAAAGGGTTCTAATACAGGACTTGACCTATATAAAAATGCTTAACTTTCTGTTGTACAATTATTTTCTATACGTTCGGATAATTAAACTTTGGAAAATTCACCCTTTTTTAATGCGTTCGACCATTTTTCCTCCCATCGTCTGAGTTTTTGCGCGTACAATAATTCTATCTCTCCCCTTTCCTGTACCATTGACATGAAATCGTCACATGATCTATAAGCAAGGAATGATGAACAAAGCACTTATGGTGACGTTTCATTATTCGTGTTCTTTTATTATTAATATTATTATTATTAAAACAAGTTACAGTTCGTGGACAAAAGCACAAATGTTCAAATACAAAATCCACACTAAAGGGGGAAAAATTCAAAATGTTCAAAAGACAAAATAAAAACGTGTAAGTGGAGCAACTTCATTGTTCTAAAAGAGGGGAGCAGCCAGTGCCTCAAACGAAGGGGAGAATAATTTGGGGACCGGGGGATTAATAATACTGTATATGTAAGGAGAAACTTTGGGTAGCTGATAAAAACGGAGTATGAACCCAATTCACCCCGGAATGTGAGATTCGGAGCAAAACAAAAGTAGGACTAACGTAAAGTTTAATATCAATATTTTTTATTCTACAGTGTTAATATTTTAAAAGTCACCCATACAATATTATTAAAACTGATCGTAGTTTGATAAAATTACAGATATACCCACTTGAATCCATTTTCCATTCTTTCGATGATAATTCGATATTGATCTATGCCCCAGAAACTATTAGACGTCATTATTATAATTAGTTTTCTTTTCTTGTTTAATATACTCGAGTTGGTTTCAATATAACTGCGCTGTTTAGGCCTATCCTGCTGAATGCTATGCTACATAATCATGTTTATGATGCTTCCGATGTGAACAGTATCACCATGGTATTACCATGGAGGTATTATTACCATGTGAATGACGCGTACGTTCAACGCGTTGCCATGCATCACACGCACAAGTGGACAATGCGCAGAGGAGGAATGGACATTGACCAGTTGCTTTCCGCGCTAAGCCCCGTGCCTCTTGGATGTTGTTGCTAAGGTCCCGAAAAAACATCAATGCCATTTTGTTGTAAAGATTAGCATTTCATAGATGCTCGCATAAATTACAAAATTACAATTAAACTAAACGTATAAAATATAAATTAATTTACAAAAGAAAGAAAAGAAAGAAATTCCGGGAAAATTACAGTAATTCATAGCAGTCTGATATTGACATAGCTGCATGATAAAGGGTTTTTTTTTCTTTGTTTTCTTTTGTTTTTGTGTTTGTTTTTGTTTTTTGAGGAATTCATCATTCATGATCTCAGTCGCTCTATTGGCGATTCAGACTCTGTTAATATCATTGGCCGTGTTCGACTGGTTCGTTCCGTTGACAAGGATATTTCGTTGTGTATTATTTCCATTCGGCTGGTTCGTAAAATAGACTTCGTTGTTGATAACGGAAATTAACGTAAAACCAGAGTGCGTTAATTTACAATAAGTTTAGCAACATTTGCGTTAATATAATTTAGATTCAGTTTCAGAAAATAATAATTATAATATTCACCTACATATTGCGGTAGGTAACTACTCAACCATTTTGTTTCGTCGAGTATTTACTAGTTTTCTATTCGTTCAGTCGAATACGACCATTGAAACATGTTTTTGTAGGACACGCGCGTATTCCAGGCCATTTTGATTGGTCAGTTGTTAAGTTTGAGTGACACTTTGGAAGGGTCTATTCATTGTGTATTCGTTCTAAAACATGAAAAATAGATTACTATTACATTTCTATTAGTCACAATCCTATTATATATCGTCCGACGTATGGCGATACCATGAGTAATTAATTTTTTTAACAATTTTCTGTATTGTGTGTTGTTTTCGTGAAGGCCTGTCTGCGCGCGACACATAACCCGGCAACTATTATATATAGCGCCCTCAATAAATGAATATTACTATTTCGTTCGTTGTTGGTTGCCAAGTTATCCTTCACGACGGATGCTGTGTGGTTGTTGTGATTGTTTTAAATTTATTATAGAATCGGTATGTAGCCTTAACAATCATAGATGCAATTGTAATTTAACATAACCTAGACCTATATTTCAATCTAGCCTTCATCACCTACCCTACATATCCTAGGTTTTGGCTAGGCATCTCTCCTGCTCCACCACCAGCCAGCAGGGAGGGCGGCAAGCCATGACTCTGGGCCTGTCCTCTAGCGGGCCTATACTACTTACTGCTGTAGGCCTAGGGCTAGCCTAGTTTTACTATACTAGGCCTAGGCCTACTCCAGGCCTAGAGCTTAGCCTACTACTACTACTACTTTAGGCCTATGCCACATACGGCCTACTATACTCGTGCTAGGCCAACCTACTACGTACCTAGGCCTAAGTAATATGTAATAATTGAGATTATGTATGAATTTTTATCTTTTTAGGAAATGGATATTGTTCAGACATCAGTCAGACATTCCATGCATTCCATTTATTTTAAGATATTAAGATAGCGAGACTTAATTTTCCACCAGCTCCACCAACCAATCAACTCGTTGGATTTGTGTAAAGTGGTCGGAACAGTATCGTTATACCTCTACTAAAGTAAAGGGTTGCCATTGATTATTATGTAGCCTATAATAATTATCTAATTCTTAGGCCTAATATTATTTGTAATTTTTTATTTTTATACCCAAAATTTAGAATAAAGGAAACTATGCCATCAATAATAGAAATTGATAATGAACAAAATACCAAGGAAGTGATGATTGAAGATACATCTGCCATAGTTCCAAATAAAGAGTCACTGAAAGAGACTTCAATAGAAAAAGGAAAAGATGAAGAGGAAAAGAAACAAGCAGAAGAACGAAAACAGAAGGACGAGGATAAATATCCCAGGTGAAATTTTGGCAAACAAAGAATCAACTAAGACATTCTTGATGTGCAAAACGTTGAGACAATCAACTAGTGACTTTCTCTCAAAAACCGTATTATATGTGGTGTACTGAAAGTTTAGTTTTTTTATTGCTGATACTTGCCATGCAAATCTTTATGAAATATTTTGTTTGTAGTTAATTGAAAGAATTTTTTTCTCAAAATTTTAAGGATAACCGAAAAAGCTTTACGTGACCATTGCAAGGCGAATGGATTGTACAGAACTCCTGAGCTTAATGATGTACTGTATCTTCATTATAAAGGTGAGTTTTTTTACAGTAACTATTACATGAGGTGGAACTGTACCTTTGAAGTGATGTTGCTTGTTTCCAATACCATAGTCGTGGCTGCAAATCTTGTAGTATCACAATTGAAAATACCTCCACTCTCTAAGCCAATCTCTATACACCTATGTAAAAATATTTTATTATTAAGTATTATGAATCATTAAAACTGCTTATTTTTCAGTGATATATGTTTTTTGCATTATGAATTTTGATGAATTGAGTTGCCTTTCTACTTCTAGGCTATACAAGACTTGAAGGCTTGGATAAATATACAGGCTTGAAAACCATCTACCTAGAGTGCAATGGCTTCAAGACCATTGAGAACTTGAGGAACCAGAAGGAGTTACGATGTCTGTTCTTGCAACAGAACCTCATTGCCAAGCTGGAGAACCTTGACGATCTTCAGCTGCTGGACACCCTGAATGTCAGTAATAACCTCATCACCAAGGTTGAAAATATAGGTAAGATCAGAATAAATAGTTAATAATAATATTAAATAATAGTAATGCTAAATTTAAAAAGAATGTTAAGTTAAGGACAATGATATGATAATGTATATGATATAATATTATTATTATAATAACCTTTGCAAAGTCAATAATTATGATTATAAGATATGATAAAAATGATATTAATAATGATGATGGCAACAATGAAACAGTACAGTACTGTAATGATATAATACAGTACACACACATAGTAGGCCTTAACATTCTGTATTTTTGTAGCCCTTAGGTTAAATGCTGTTTTCCTCTTTTCATTTTTTAGCTTGCTTGCCTGTTCTCAATACACTGAATATTTCCCATAATAGACTGACAAATGCTGAAGATGTTAGGCATTTAGAGGAGTGTAATCACCTGAGTATTTTGGACTTGTCACACAATAGACTCAACGATCCAGCCATATTTGATGTACTTGGCAACATGAAGAATTTGGTAAATTTTACTTACTAGTTTACTTGATAGTAGAGATTCCTGAATCAAATGCTTATGATTCCCTCATGCATTGTGTTGCTCTCTGAGAAGTGTAGTGATTTGCTTCATTCTAGGTTTTTGTGATCTATTTACAAAAAATGGGTTCTTATGGGCTTTCTTGAAGCAGACATGAATCCATTACTAGCATCATTACATAATTATTCTTATTGTTTTGTTTCAGAGAGTTTTGAATCTGATGGGAAACCCAATCATCAAAAGCACCAAGAATTACAGAAAGACACTGATTTTGAAACTGGTAGGAGCAAGAGTGTATCTCAATGCATTTTAAAAAACATTAAATTTCTCACTTAAAAGAATCAAATAATTATCAACTTTAGGTTTTTGCTGATTTACATATTTTTTGCTATAAATATATTTGAATTGTTGAGTCAATTTAATGGTCTGTGCAAATAACATAGGAATGTTATTATCTATGAAATTTGTTAATTGGTAATAAATATTTTCTTATTCTAATTTTCAAATGAATTCTAATAATCTACCTAAATACTGTATAACAAGTCTGCCATTAAAGTATTTCATATAATGATACCTTAAACTAAACTAATATTTAAACTTACAGAAAAGCCTAACATACTTGGATGACCGGCCAGTGTTTCCCAAAGACAGAGCTTGCACTGAAGCCTGGTAGGTTGTATCAATTTGTGGATTGAAGCCATCACTTTTGTATGATTTAAACATTAAAGTTCTTTATTCTGATGCTGGTCAAATTGCTTGTTTACTTTGCCAGGCAAATAATTTTCTCTTCATGGGGGTGGAGAAATGGGCACTTACATCAAACCTACCCCTCAGCAGTGGCGTATCTAGAGGGTTGTGTGGGGGTACACGGCCCTCCAAAAATTATGCCCCCCACCCCCACCCCCAAAATCACTTGCAAGCCGTTAAAAATCACCTAAAATCACCTTATTTTGAAGTTAGCACCCCTCAACTGATCATCAAGCCCCCACTTCATTTTCGTGCCCCCATCAGCACCCCTACTAGATATGCCACTTCCCCCAGACAATAATAGGTTCTTCCCCACTTCCCTAGACCATATGTCCTCAGTTTCCTCTCATGACCCTCATCCCCTCGCCTCTTCTGGCAAAATGAATCCATTGCTGAATAAGAATTTGATGCATTCAGTTTTTGATTGACTCTTATTCTTAGGGCAATTGGTGGCCGTGAAGCTGAAAAGGCTGAAAGAGAAAAATGGGCTGAGAAAGATCGGGCTAAAATTAGAGCAAGCATTGATGGTATGTCTGTGTTATTGTGTATACATGTGTCATTTTATGTTACGAATAATATAATAACAGTACAACTGCACATTATTATATTGCTAATTGAAAATCTAAGACTCTCTTGCATAGTTAAAGAAAAGTTCCAGAATTGAGGATTCTAAAAGCATTATAGTACAATTAATTACGACCTTATATTCAGTTCTTCTCCAAGCTCCTGTTTTCATTCAATCTTTTTTTTTTATTAAGCTCTATCTGAAGTACGAAAAAGAGCAGAACTCCTGAGAAAAGAACGAGAGGAACTTGCCAAGGTAGTGTATTGAGAGACCAAGCTTCTCTTAATTATCTTCAGTTGATGTAATCTTAAGTCATCACAAAACACTTCTTAATACTGCGCCCAAAATATCTTAGTTACTCAACTTAATACTTAACTTAAGCCATGTTTACACGGCCGTTTGCTATCACCATATTAGTACCACCGAAGATTTCCAGTCAAGCGTCTACACGATAAGTTGACTCTGATAAATACATCCGTTGTACCAGGAAGACACATGGTTAGAACTGACCTGAAAAACTGTGCGCATTGCTGCTTGTTTTGAAACCCATTGTCAAAAAAGTTTTAAAATGTATGTAATTGATAAAAACAACATTTTTAAATACTAATGCTGTATTTCGAAACAAATGGTATAATTGTATTTTGCGATGTTTATCGACATCGACCTCCGTGATGAATTACACAGGTCAAACAACGGCTGTTTCGCATTAAGAACATGCCGATGATCTTAGTTAACTTTGTGGCGAAGTGGAGTTAACTTTATAGATCATCGCGGTTACTAATCCTTTATGTGGAGTGACTAACACCGTTTACCTGGCCAGTTAACACCAATATCATCAGATAAACGTTCTTCTGCCGTGAAATTGTGGCTTCAGTTTACTCTACTTAATATTTAATTAAAACAAATTTTTTTAGTCATAAACATTGTATATTTGCTCAGGAAAGAGGTGATACAGGGCCCAAACCAATCGTGGCTCAAGAGAAGTTCTACCCACCAGATGAAGATGTCCAACTCACTTTTGATGTTTCCAACCCAGCTGAAGGTAAGTAGTGTCAACAAGGGTAGTTACATTACAAGAAGATAATAACTTTTATTTTCCAATTTAAAAGCAGGAAATTCAATTTACTTTCAACAATCCATCATTTTCATATTTTTGTATTTTTACCCAGAATGCATCCAGACTGGAGATAAACCTAGACAACCAGTACTGATAACGGAGATAGATGAAGATGTTGAAACGATTGAGCTCCAAGATGAGAAGATAAACATTGATGTAAGTTAATATTCTAAATTACATTATATTCTACCTAAATATGGCATTTCAACTACCAAAGTTATTTTGTGTATAACCAAATAAAGATTTAAAATAATATAGTCTGAATAGAATTATTAACAAGAGGATGCCATATATTTCATATATCTTAATCTTTCATATATATATTAAATAAGGAATGAAGTAAATCAATGATTTTTTTTAACCAAATTGTTTTTTAGGATCTCCCAGATCTGGAGGAAGTTGAGGTTGACATGCAAGAAAGTCCAGTCGTCCAGTCACCTAAAGTAAGCATCATTCGTGATTAATTAGTTAATAGGAATTTTATTATGATGACCTTCTCCCAACTACTCTACTGCTTTCTTCACTATAGAAGTAGTCATTAGTATTGACATATTTTCCAATTGATATTGCCCCATAGAAACGAATTATATTTTATTTGAAAACGCATTCAAAGTGCAGGTAGGAAAATAAGACCAGAATCGGCAAAGCTTTGTGCCCATGGGGCAACTAAGCTTATGTAATTGAAAAGCTCTATATTGTTCATTCTCTTATATTAATCACTTTGATGATCACAAGTTAGTTTTTGCCATGACATGATGTACCTTTGTTAGATGTCGCTATATGTAATATTAACAGAGAACCGGGGCGGATCCAGAGAT